ACCGCCGCGGCCGCCAAAGGCCAACCCTGCACGCGGCGCTCCTTCGCCTGCTGCTGGAGCAGCGCCGGCGCGAGCAGATCGCGCCGGAGGCCTCGCGCCGGCGGATCTACCGCCTGGAGATGGACTCCCAGGCGGATTCCTCGACCGGTCTGGGGGTCTACCACCGCGGGATCGACCTCGCACCACTGGCTCCGTTCTTTGATAACTTCTTCATGGGCGAGCAGGAGGATGCGCATGAGTTCTTCGTGGCGTTGATTACTAAACTCGAAGAGGAGGCGCTGTGGTTTGGAAAAAGGCAGACGGGGTCGGACAATTCCTCGGACGTGACGGACAGCGACGACGTCGAGGAAGGATCTAGCGAGACCAAGGAAGATCGTGAGGGGTCAGCGGGTAATGGTGAGGAGTCCTTTTTCCGCCCTTGCATCAGCTTATCGCGCTCTAGATCTAGGAGTCCAGACGATTCACCCGCCGCGACGGTGAGAAAGGACATAGAGGCCGAAGTCGATAGCGTGCAAACGTGTTTCACTGAAAATGCGAAGGACGAACCAAACACGTGGCCTCAACGGGCTCTGTGTTCGCCCTCCCATTTGCGAGGCAGCCACGACGAATCCCTCAGCAGCGACATTTCTCACGATGGGCTTTCGAATTCACGCGTTTCCTCCACTTCCGTGGGGTCTACGGCCTTGGTGGGCACCACGCCGTGGATTAACGATCTTGTGCAGGGCTGTTTGCTGAACATCATTCGCTGTCGCCGACCCGGCTGCCTTCACCACATCGTCACCCAGGAGCCTTTTATTAACTTATCCATCGGCCTTAACATTGACGACAACGCCATTTCAACCAAAACGGAGGGCGAGGGGGAAACCAAGAGGACGCCCTGCGTGGAGGATGTCGAGGATCCACACTCTCCGCGTGACCTCGATTTCACAGCCGAGAAAGGCGTCAACGCGGAGAGAGGGAAAAGCGCCTATGGGGGGACCCAATCCCACCCGGAGACATGGAAGGATGTAGCCGAGGGGACTCCACCGCTGGACCTTCGTCGTCTTTTATGTCGTTTTGTTCGTTCGTATGAGCAGCTGGAGGGCTATGTTTGTGATGCCTGCGGATCGACGGAGGGGCAATATCAGGGTGGCTGCTTTTACGGCGATCTTCCACCGGTGCTTGTCCTGCAGTTCAAGCGCTTTGCGGTTTCCTTCTTGGCGAACAGCTCGGTGGTCTTCACGAAGGATGAAAGCGAGGTCAAGGTGAGCGAGTACATTGAACTTTTTTCGCTCCCAGAAGAGAACGATGTGGGCGGCGGGGGGTACGACGTCGCGGCGAAACGATTTACCGATACGCTGCTGAATACGGAGCGAGAAGCCACTCAAAGAAGGAAAACTGTAATAACCGTAGAAACCGAAGAAGGTAGCAGCGACTCGTCTGGCCTTTCGGATGAGGAATGCCTTATTGATGCGATCTGGACTCAATACCGCCTGCAAGGTACTGTTCTGCATTATGGGAAGAACCTGTATTCCGGGCATTACGTCGCCGAGTTTGCGGTTGACTTCAGCCCTGACGAATCGAAGCAGGATGATGTTTCTCCACTCAAAAAGAGTAGTTTGACGGAGCCTTGTAATGGTAGGGTGGATGTAGAGGCTAAAGGAAGCAAGGAGAAGGAAGGTAGTTCCTTATCTAATGATCAATTATCCGAGGAGGCAGAGCCATCGAGAAGGGTGTGGAAGCTCGCGAATGACGAGTACGTTCTGACGGAACCCGTGGTGAGTGAGAGGGAGCGGGAGCGTCGTAGTGGACAGTGTTATTTGTTGTTATACGAAAAGATTCTAAAAAAGCGGGTGCGTTGTCCTTTGTGGAAGGTGCTTCCACGTCTTCCAGATTCATGGAATTAACATGCAGGGCGTTTTCATTTTTTTTAGTCCTTCGTCTCTATACACCTGCGCTTTTTTAAATTAATTATCCTACTTTATATTGAGTACGGTTACTTTTCCATGATCTTTAATATTTATAACTGTTGAACTTTTTTTTATTTGAGTGCGCATGCGTGTATTTGTGAGGGCGTACTCTAGATTTAAAGAAAGCTTATATATAGATGAATAATTTGGTGCTGCTGTAATATTAAATAACACTGTTAAAATTCGGTTTTCACATTGCAAATAGTATATTTACGTATTGATAGGCGTATCTGAAAACCACTATTGAGGTTTTCATTCATTTTTGTAGTATTTTTATTTCCTTTCACCTTTCTCAGGAAGAATTTTTTTTTGTAGACCGATCATCCACCGCTCCTCTTATTGGGGATCATCCGATGCCTTTTCTAAATTGATGTCGTAGCTCGAAAAAAGAAACAACTCTTTTTCTTCACCTTTCTGCATATCGCGAGGCTATCCGCGTCCGGCACCACCTTTCCTACTTTCTTCCATCGGTTCGTGATGTGTTTACTACGGCCTTGCATTGGGCAGGGATGAATGTCGTGTGAGGCCGCTCTTCACCCCCAAAGGGGCTCTACTTTTAAATCTATTCCAACCCCCAATCTGAATGTTGGAATCCTCCTCACGTGGGCTTTTGGATTCCCCCTGACATCACGGTCATCCAACATGATATCGTGAAGGTCGAAACATTAAATTATTTGTACCGTCTTGTGAGTGCTTGATTTTATTTCACCACAACACTTTACGACTTCGATTCCCCTTTATGTAGTTTAAACTTGAGATTTTAAAGGGGTGAAGGATTGTTTATTGTACTTTTAATCGTCCATCTCGGGTCTTTTGCCGCATCTGCCACCTCTAACCTCGTTCGCGATGTGTATGCATCCAGAAGAAGGTGTGATGTGGAGCTCTGATGGGCATTGGTTTATTTACTTTACCTTCTGGATTGGATGCGGGCTATTCCTTAAAGGCTTGTGGATTTATATCAAATCAGACTATTACTTCATCCAGCCCAAGATGCACTCTTTGACGTATCATATTTACTATGGTGGTAGGGGTGGATTGAGCGACTTAGTTGCCTTTTTTTAAAATGATATATTGGAGTAACGCGGGAAGGGTTAATTACAGAAAGCTACTTTTTTTTACGTTAAAAAAGCAATGATGAGCGACTCCGGTGCTTGTGGCGTTTGGTTTTACATTCCACGTATTTACTAATCTAATCCCATGTGGAATAGCGCACCATAAATGTTCCTTAAATAATTTCTGCCACGCCTACGCTGAGTTGTATCTCAAAGTTGTCTTTCTGTGGATTATATTGTGTAGATCTTTTTTTTTGAATAATATTCTATAACACAGTTCTGAACAACCAGAACGCTATCGACCTCATTTCACCTGGTGATGCGCCTGAACAAGTACTTAAAAAAAAATCCACTTTGCACTATTTTATTCCTTTAAGATATAGTATATATATACACAGTTGCACGTGTATAGGTGTATATATTTGTGCATACGTATATATACAATAATACAAGTTTGAATTTCAAGCTCAAAAGTAAGATAGACTATTACCATTTCCAGACAATCACACACACTTCTACATATCTTTTTTCATATATCTATATTTTCTATATTATCTCAGAGATACACTTGAAGCGGTATAAGAAAGGAAAAGATCATTTTTTTTAATCCTCTCTCAAGATTATACCACCCAAAAGTTCGAATTTTACCCACAGTTTTCATAGTAGAATTTTTCAACGTCTTCTTCGTTTAATCTCTTCATCGATTTTTACTGTGGAACCTAACTTTAGACGAAAAAGCTATATCCATTTTTTTTTGGATATTATACAATTAGGTGGGAGAAGAAAAACGCTATATATATATATATTAAAATACTGGAAAATATTTTTCTCTTTTTTTATCTAA